GTTTTCTGGCCTTTTCCGTGCTTCAACGCTAGTGCGCGAAATTAAATAGCAGCGTTTCCTCGCCGTATCCAGGAATACAAGATAGAGGATATTACACGGCGGCGCAAAGATATAAATCTTATTTTCGAGTGGTAAATACAATAATTTATTAGCGAGTACAGCAAGTGAGTAAAATATTGTTTTAAACGCGAGAAAATCAAATTCATATCTTCAAGCCACTGTGTAATTTTCTTTTTATTATAAAAACAAACTGACTGTTTGCGCAAAGAACTGTGAAAACGCGAGAAATGACGTCATCAGTATTCTCACTGGTGAGGATATGGAAAGTACACCACTCGGAACCCGGATGTTGTTAATAATTTTGCATAAATTTTACGAGTGGTCTATTTTCCAGTAAAACACTCGTGTCTATGTAATAAAGAGGAATATGCAGCTTTACTTCCCTCCACCCTACAGCTCCTTGTAAAATGAAACAAACCAAAAAAAATCATTTAACTGCAGGGAAAGGAAATTCAGATTGGAAGACCGTTAACACTCAGTGTAAGTAGCTACCTATATCAACTTGAATTTGAAAAAAAAGGAAATGAGTCGCCCTATAGTGTTTTCAGAAAATTGATGTGTTGAGAGTTAACCCTTCTGCCCGGCATAATGACCGTGCTCCCATAAAGAAAGGGTTAAAGCTCGAAACTTCAACTTTGCAGCGCAGCTAGAGCAGTTATTAATTTACTTTTATTAGCTTCAAGTTTTCAATCAGCTAAGTNTCCGCAGCCGTTTTATGGTATGTCACGCAACGCTCCCCCCAAAGAAACCATTTGGGGGAGCGTTGCGTGACATCCCAAAAAACGGCTGCGGAGGAGACAAAACGCTAATATGCTAACAGGAATATTAGCTATAATAACTATGGCATGCTAAACGCATGCGCAAAACTATACGATTATTACCTGAGCCGATTACCTAAGCCCGCAAGTGGCCCGGCAAGTACGCATAGAAAGCTGCGAAAAACATTTTTCCGCTCTGAAGAATTTAATAGGAAATCTGATGGGAAATCGAAGAATTTCAGTTTTTGGAGGGCAAAAACCTTGTACCAGAATAATTTTAAGTATATCTTACAGTCCTTTTTGCATTTCCTAGGATACAGTCGCCTGAAATAACACCAAAAACAATTTCCCATAGAAACTCGAGAGAATAAATCTCAAAGTTGAGAAACATTGTGCAAACATCAGTTTCATTTCATGAATAATTTCAAATGTTTCATATGAACTTCCAAAGTTGTTTTCGACATTATTTTGGTGTTATTACAAATGATTTCTTGTGAGAAGATATTTAAAACAGTCGCACAGAAGTTTGCAATATAATGTTAATAATCTCAGTACAAAGTTTTCTTCCACTTGTTACTCGAACTTTCTTGTGAATTCCTTCTTAAAGTGATACTATGATGAAATACTCATCTTTCCTATCTAAACCATTGAAAAACATAAACAGGTAGTCTGTACGAAAGGAAAAGTGCTGTTTGCTATTTTCAAATATCTCTTTTCGTTCCAGAGATATTCAAGTTTTTAAGGGAGCTAGGACTAATCATGGAAATAGCAATAATTAGGGAAGGAAATGAAACACACAGAGTGCTGGGGAGGAAGTGGTATGAGGGATACGATACGAGGAAGGCAGGAGAGGCACTAGAATGAAAAAGAGATGGAGTAGCAGCAAAAAAAGGAAATAGTAAGGGGTTGAGTTAGTGGAATAATTAGAGGGGAAGAAAACAAGGAGTGCGGGAGACGGGAAGAAAAATGGGGGGTGGGTAGAGAAATGGGTAGAAAAGGTTCAGTGGGGAAGGAGCTTAAATATGGGGATCATGAACGAAAGGAAGTAATGAAAAAGGTCCTGTTAAAAGATGTTAGGCGCAAAACAAAAAGAAGGGATTTTGTAAAAGGGAGTATACATTTTCTCTTTTTTTTTTTCGGAAAAATTAAAAAAATAAAAGTAAAGACACTACCGGGCAACATACGATATCTACTGCTTTAACTAGTCTATTCTAAGTCTATGACGAGCTTGGATCACCATTGAACATTTTACAACCTATCTTTTTATCAATTCTCATTTCCGATCACACCTTTAAATTTCGGGCAATATCCGTGGGCAAATATACAAGAACACGCAGAAAGACCCAGAAACTTGCCTTACTTCCGATTCTCTCCCAATGTGGAGAACAGATCGTTGACAGACTTCGCCGGTCACTCAGCGACTGTCGGCTAAGACACTCGAATGTGCCCTCTGACATTATGATTTTTGCAATTTCAAGGAATTTTGGCCGAAAGTGGCGCGGATTTTGTCAAACGAAGTTAGCTGTATGAGACAAAGGATGTTACACGATGGCGCGGAGATATGAATATTATCAGTTCGGGTGGTAAAAACAATATTTTACGTACAAGCGCAACGAGTAAGTAAAATATTGTTTTCGAGAAAATTAAATTCATATCTTCAAACTGTAATGTTCTTTTTCAGGCAAAGTGACTGTTTGCACAAACAACCGGGGAAAAGCGGGAAATGACGTCATCAATATCCTGAGAATATCGAAATATGCCATCTGGGACCCGGATGTAGTTTCGTATGAATTTTACAAGTGGCCTATTTTCAAAAAAAAACACTCACGTCTATATAATAAATATTATATAAACAACAATGGAATAGCAGGTGAGCTTTCGAGCGAAAACTGATGATATCTTCACACGTGAAAAAGATCCCCGTTGCTATGGTCACATAATAACTGGTGCCTTTCCCAGCGAAACTGAAATGGTTTGGAAATTCATTGGTGTTTATAACATGAAAAGAACATTACATGGCCACTTGGAGATACGAAATTTCTGTTCTCGAGTTGAAAAATATTTCACTCGTTCGTTGCGCTCACTCGTGATTCGTGAAATATTCTTCAACGCTGGAAGAGAAATTTCGCATCTCCACGCGGCCCTCGCCATCACGGGCTTTCGTTTTCAAGGGAACTACAACTTGGTAATTATTTTGAAGTTTAAACAAAGAAAATCTTTACCCTGCTGATCTTAATTAGCATAGAATTTGACGTTTTATTTTTCCGTTTTCTCCTAAGTTTTAGTTTCGATTGAGAAGATATACCTTTGTTGTTTTATAGCGTACAGCTAAGAATCGTATCAGGTTTTACATTATCATCAAAATTATTCCGAGCAAAGCAAAGCACCGGAGCTTTCCCAGTTCCTGTCATTCAGTAACCGCATTGCTATAGTCGTTTTCTGAAGCTCTCTAAGGCTAGAATAACATGATTCCTTCTTCCTCTTAAAAGTGAAATCGTCGTATGGGTGATCATACCGTTTTTCTCGTTCAATTTGGAATTAATTTGCACGAGTGAGTTTTTTCAAACAGCTGAAAAAATTCGCGCGGAGGAAGTGCTGAAAGACCTTTCTTGAAGCCATTTTTTTTTCATTCGAGAAAATTTTTTTCAAAGTTTCCGCACAAAATTTTCGACATCATTTTACGTCATATCATTGACTTAGCAAATTTCCTGTTGTCCTTCACTTCAGCCAATCATAATCCAGAATTACGATGTGTAAAGTTTGCACTGGTGTTACACTTTTTGCATTGTGTTACACTTGAACTGCACTGCTCTCAGCCAATCAGAATAGAGTAATTTTTTCATGTATATTTATTATTATTAAAAAAAAAGTTAACCCAAATGTGTAAAGTTGCGTCAGAAGTTGTTTGTAGTGCCACAAGAGCTGGTCTGCCACTAATCTTTCCTTGCCATTTGGAATCAGAGTGATTGACATTCAGAGTTTTTCTTCATTTCACTGTGAGTACTGATCGCAATATTAGCTAATATTAAAGGAGGTGAGAATCCATCATATGAGTGATCACGTGATAAAGGTTGTAAATACCGTCTACAGAAGGGGTTTCCCCAAAGAAAATAGATCCTGGTTTCCCAGTATTGAGTTAATAAGCAATTTGAATTTCGTTTTGGATGATTTAGTTATAAACAAGAATGGAAGGATTCCCCCAAGTGAGCTTACGCCATCACCCATTCGTATGACTTTACTCGCTGTCCGCTTCAGAATTAATCACATTTATTTAATGATGGTTGAAAACAGATAAATATCGCGTTTTTAGCCATTTGTGACCATTTGTTTCCTTGCAATAATCCAATTTTTAAGTTTCTAATCGATGGGTAACTTACCCACTCACACAAGACACGTGCTACAGGGGCAATACGATGTGTGTTTTTGCCATCAGCCCGTTTTTGCTAAGTCTCCCGTCCCTAATAAATGTCCCCTCCCCCCTCTTTACTAACTGCCCTCCTTCAGCTAGATCGAATCATTGCGATATGCTAGGTAGGTCTAATGTGGACACTTCACTTCTTCCCTGAGGAATTTTCAGGTAGTTTAGTCTAAGATGGGTATAGAAATCAGACGTTTTTGGTTTAGAATAGAATTGCAAAATCAGTATAGGGTAAGGGTTTTCATCGTCCCAGCGGCACCCCTACCCCACCTCACCCCCTAACCCAAACATTTACACAGCACCCGCCCCCAGGGCGTCTTCTCGAATTCGAACAAGATTACGTCCATAACTCATATCCGTGTCATAGTGTCATCAATGTCCTTGATTTTATAATATTATTGTGAAAGAAAATTTAAATAGGGCAGGAAAACATTCAGGCGAACAATTTTGAATGTTTTCATACGTTTTCTGGAAGCTATGACTCATGTAATTAGCCTCGTTTAGCTGCCTTAGATTGCATATCTTTTCTTTGACCAACATTTCAAAGAAAATAGGTTGTGAAGGTCACGAGTGTGAAGGTCACATTCCGGTTTGGTTGGTCACGTAAGTTGAGTTAGAGATCAGTCACGTGTGTGAGCGATCTCAGAACATCCAATTAGCAACCAAGAAAGGAAGAAGGGCCATCAGAGAGTTAATTTCCCCAACTTCGGATGTTTGATTTGAAATATGCCAAAAAAAGGGAAAGAAAACGAACGAAAAAAAAGTACCAGGAGTGGGGTTCGAACCCACGCGGACAATACGTCCATTGGAACTTAAGTCCAACGCCTTAACCACTCGGCCATCCTGGTGTTAACACAAATAAGTTAGTTCATTGTTTGGTAGTGTGCAAATTCAGGCAGGTTGTAGTTATGAAGAACAGTCGATCAAAATGGCCGGAGTAATTTCTCAGTCCTACAATAAAGACATGCGCACCAAATTAGTCCATGAAGCTACTAATCTACTTCCCGATGGAATTGAATCTATTAAGGCGCGGGTACACCTGAAAATTCTGTAGATGGAATCTTTGTTTTTGCTGGAATTTGAATCTTAAGGTATTAAAGTTTATCTTGAGGAACATTTCTGCCACTTTAAGTTCAAAGCTCGTTTTCTCAAAACAAGTTATTTTTGCCTTTGAGAAAAGATATTTTGAGAGGGATTTGTCCAATTGATCTGAAATTTTCAGGGCTGTATCCTCTCATTGAGGTGAGTTGAATGAGCAGACTGTTTCTCCATAAGTTGAATTTTAAACAAGTTATTGAGGAATATGTCACCTGAGAAATCTTGGTGAACTTTGAACTCGAATTGTTTCCATAATTTTAGTGGCTCCTAAATTTCATCAGCTCATCTAAGAGAGTAAACCCAGTGCTTTGTTTTGACACCAAAATCACTTGATTCCTTGCAATCTACAAGCAGGTATCTTTTCTCAAGTATGCTTAGGTTTTTCACAGCATGTGGTTAACATATTGATCTGGTGTCAAATAAATGTAATATTTTGTGCCTGTGATTCCTAAGCTTTCTTCTGATATATAGGTTTATGTGGTTCTGAACTATAGTTATGAAGTTACACTTGAAAAAAAGACGTTTTTTTTTCATGTTTACCCCCGCCTTAATCATTCCCTAAAATCAACCATACCTAAGGTCTGATTAATTTTTAAAATTAAGCTGTTAGGCCTCACCTATAGTACCTCTAATTAATTTCACCCTATTCAGATGGGCGAGGCGGTCAGGGGGGAGGTGGTCAAATAAATTTGGTATGACATGCCATTTTACTCGGAACTTTACGTTGCCATAGCTTTCGTACTTTCGTGTGATTATTCTTTCATTTTTATGACTCTCAGCCATTATGTTATTAACTTGATTTAGTTTTTATCGTTTTCTGACGAAGAAATCCAAATCCAAGATGGCGGGTCTAAGAGATCAAAATGGCGTCTGTTTAGCAAACCTGACACAATTAACACTTGATCTGACGTCATCTCATGTTATTTACTTCAAGAGAAACATTTTTGGGTACCCTCAAAGTTCGGTTATAAATAATCTTAAAGTTATGAAGGGGAGGGTTGATAGTCGGCCGTATCTACGGAAATCCGTTCCGCTCCGGAAATCCCCGGCTAATACCAGCTATCCACTCTGCCTGGCCGAACAAAATAGACTAAAGCGGAGATTTAATTCACGGCATAAAGAACATGGCTTTGTTGGTTTCCTCTTGCAATTGCGCGCTCGGGTAGCCAGCTACATTGCAGGGGAACTTAAAGCAGTTTTCTGGCCTTTTCCGTGCTTCAACGCTAGTGCGCGAAATTAAATAGCAGCGTTTCCTCGCCGTATCCAGGAATACAAGATAGAGGATATTACACGGCGGCGCAAAGATATAAATCTTATTTTCGAGTGGTAAATACAATAATTTATTAGCGAGTACAGCAAGTGAGTAAAATATTGTTTTAAACGCGAGAAAATCAAATTCATATCTTCAAGCCACTGTGTAATTTTCTTTTTATTATAAAAACAAACTGACTGTTTGCGCAAAGAACTGTGAAAACGCGAGAAATGACGTCATCAGTATTCTCACTGGTGAGGATATGGAAAGTACACCACTCGGAACCCGGATGTTGTTAATAATTTTGCATAAATTTTACGAGTGGTCTATTTTCCAGTAAAACACTCGTGTCTATGTAATAAAGAGGAATATGCAGCTTTACTTCCCTCCACCCTACAGCTCCTTGTAAAATGAAACAAACCAAAAAAAATCATTTAACTGCAGGGAAAGGAAATTCAGATTGGAAGACCGTTAACACTCAGTGTAAGTAGCTACCTATATCAACTTGAATTTGAAAAAAAAGGAAATGAGTCGCCCTATAGTGTTTTCAGAAAATTGATGTGTTGAGAGTTAACCCTTCTGCCCGGCATAATGACCGTGCTCCCATAAAGAAAGGGTTAAAGCTCGAAACTTCAACTTTGCAGCGCAGCTAGAGCAGTTATTAATTTACTTTTATTAGCTTCAAGTTTTCAATCAGCTAAGT